ATTACCGGAACCTCTTTCTAAAGACAATACAAGACTCTAGTCTTTGGATTGATCCCGATAATTACAACATATTACCTTCTGGAGAACAATATATCATGCAAATGTCGACTTAGATGTGAAATACTCATGGTTCCTTTCCCGGAATCACTGGGTGAGCAGGCTGTTTGCGTTACATACATACCAACAATGCGCACATCACGGTGGGGTTCGTGATTCCCTCACCTCACTAAAACAGCAGTACTGGCTTCCACTGGGTCGTCAGACTGTTAAAACCATAATCATATCAAGTGTTGTCTGCAGAAGGTTAAATGCTCGGGTGTGTCCTTACTCGGATGTCCACCACTCACGTGGAAACGAGTAGTACGTCTTCGTCCTTTGAGACCACATTTGTGGATTTCACAGGTGCTATCATGCTTAAAAACACTAAAGACAGCATCCCAATTAAGGCGTATATCTGCTGTTCACTTCTACAACTACTAAAACAGTTCACTAGGAAGTGACTCCTGATCTGAGTGCAGAGTCCTTTATCCATTCCTTTCTCAGGTTTGCTGCATACAGATACTGCCCCATGTCGATGATTTAGGATAATAGGTTCAACTTGGTGGCTAATAAGGCATTCCTTAGATATTTCTGTGATCACCCAGCAGTTCGCATTGTTCTTAACTAGAATCAGTGTTAATGGAAATTCATACCCCTTAGAGTGCCAAGGCATGGAGGATTCTACAAGAGGAAAGTGGGGACGGTGGAATGCTGTTTGCATAAAACGCTTCACATCCAGAAGACACTTCGCCAAGAACTCCATATCGTAGTCACGGAGACGGAAATCCACAGTCAATAATTGAATCCCCAGAGTGAACTAAGTGTCAATGGATATGCACAAAATCAGGGTGGGTAATACAGTCGGGACCTAGATCATAATACGAACAAATCCTGTAACAAAGCAGGTGAAGCAGGAAGCAAATATGCGTCAGTATGGAGACGGCACCGAAGGACCCCAAGGAGAGGGATCCTTCTTCCACTGTGACGGCTGTGATAGTGGAAGGGGAAGGGAATTATCAGGGGAAAAGCACCAAGCTATTACGACTATGTAGCATTGGGAAGTGGTCAGGATAAGGATTTGGGATGGGACGGGGGAAAGGAATGGTGCCCAACCCCTTGGAAGGTCGGGGATTGAACGCCGATCTACATGAAGCGAGACCGTCGCTCTACCGTCCAGCCCAAGTGGTTGGGCTGGACGTGTAGACGTGTGATAGTGGAAGGAGCCGTACCAGGAGACGAGTTACTCGCCACAGGGGGTTTGTAGCTACACCCAGCCACAAGCAGGAGGGGAACGGGGAGAGTAGCAGAAGGGGCAATCAGAGCTGACGGACTATGGTGGCTGTCCTTCCATTAGTCCGACTTGGGGGAGGAGGGGGGGGGGTGTGGTTGCTCACCCCACGAGCCTGAGAAGAGGAAAGAGGGTCGGAAGGGGGAGGGGGGGGGGTGTGGTTGCTCACCCCACGAGCCTGAGAAGAGGAAAGAGGGTCGGAAGCATATAAAACGAAAATTAAAAATTTCATCCATAAATCTCCCATACCCGCCATAGAGTCACAATTAAAGGACAGGGAGCTCCATACAACAGGACTATCCTCGGGGAGCATCATGAATATGCACCCTGCACACAGAAATCACAATAGCGTGATGCATCAAATGAACAAATCCACAAGGGCCGTGTAAAATCCTGGTTTGTGTCTCGGAGAGGCTGCAGGATCCGAATAAGGTCAGTAGAACTTCCGGTTGCAATTCTTTTAACCATGTCGTAGCTCAGTCGATTAAGGCAGCGTCTGGATCCTCTTGGACGTAGGTTTGAACCCTCGTCACGGCCCTTGTGAATTTGTTTATATAGCCTGCACTTATTACCTTAGGAGCCATCAGTCCATCGAAGTTGGGTTCAACAACGAAGACAGGGATTCACATAAATGTTTCCCCTCGCTCGAACACGTCAGGTACTCCAGTTCTGTGGATGAGACAGAGTGCACCGTCTCAACTCTCCCTCCATCAGAACATATTAAGGCAAATGAAAGAATAATCAAGGACTGAACCAAGTCGCCAGGAAGAAACAACCAAAAAGGAGAAGAGGTGGAGAAGAAAGAAACAAGTGGAAGAGAAGAAGTGATCCAGCAAAATTATTAAAAAAGCCAGCACGAGCTTCAAAAAGGACAGATTAAACGCCAACTTCGAGCATCACCCTCCGACAGCTCCCTCACCCCGACCCAGCATGCCCTTCACGCCGACAACGGGGTGGACAGGAAGGGGCGAAGGGAAGGGAACTATCAGCAGAAGCGACAAGTCATTACGACTATATAGCACTGGGAAGGGATAAGGATTTTGGATGGGACGCGGGGAAGGAATGGTTACCTTGAGGTTACCTTGAGGTGCTTCCGGGGCTTAGCGTCCCCGCGGCCCGGTCGTCGACCAGGCCTCCTGGTTGCCGGACTGATCAACCAGGCTGTTGAACGCGGCTGCTCGCAGCCTGACGTATGAGTCACAGCCTTGTTGATCAGGTATCCTTTGGAGGTGCTTATCCAGTTCTCTCTTGAACACTGTGAGGGGTCGGCCAGTTATGCCCCTTATGTGTAGTGGAAGCGTGTTGAACAGTCTTGGACCTCTGATGTTGATAGAGTTCTCTCTCAGAGTACCTGTTACACCTCTGTTTTTCAACGGGGGTATTCTGCACATCCTGCCATGTCTTCTGGTCTCATGTGATGTTATTTCTGTGTGCAGGATTGGGACCAGCCCCTCTAATATTTTCCACGTGTAAATTATTATGTACCTCTCCCGCCTGCGCTCAAAGGAGTACAGTTTTAGGCTCTTTAGTCGGTCCCAATAGTTTAGATGTTTTACTGAGTGGATTCTAGCAGTAAAGGATCTCTGCACGCTCTCCAGGTCAACAATTTCTCCAGCTTTGAAAGGTGCTGTCATTGTGCAGGAGTACTCCACTCTAGAGAGCACAAGCGTGTCCATGGTGCCCAACCAATTGGAGGGTCGGGGAATGAACGCCGACCTGCATGAAGCGAGACCGTCGCTCAATCGTCCAGACCAAGTGGTTGGGTAGGGAGGGGCGAGATAAATGCTAAATCAATAAATTTTGAGGCAGGATAATATTCTTGGAAAGTTTAAGAGTGGAAATGTCCATGAATGGTAACCTGCATAAGCTTAAGGGAAACCCACTTCACCATGTGACATGAGCCGTCATGAAGGGGGTAATTATATCATGATAAAATGGCAGCCAGAGAACGACTTCTGAAAATTCAGACACCAGATAGATGAAATTTTATCTCTACTTGGGTCTGACTGATAGTTTTTGTTTTATTAGTGTTATTTGCAACTTCATTTCTTAATAGTATATATATCTAGATGTTGTTAAGAATATTAGTTACATAGATAATCTAAATTTAAAGTTAAGATCCAAAATATTTTTGCCCTGTTTGTCATCCCTTGGTTATTCAGTAACTAATAGTGTGTACTAATAATATGTGGATTTACATTTTTAATATTGATTTGTTGGTCACATTTAATTATGATGCCTGATGACCTTGAGGGGAGTATTGAGTGCCCCAAAAATGCGATGTAGATGCTAGAATATTTTCCAACACTTATGTGTAATTGTTCGGATTTCTAACATCTTCATTTAATTAGGAATTTACTCTACAATATTATATTTTAAGGAAGGAGATTCATTTAGCCACCACATGTTTTATTATGGTCACCCCAAGAATATTAGCCACCACATGTTTTATTATGGTCACCCCAAGAATATTAGCCACCACATGTTTTATTATGGTCACCCCAAGAATATTAGCCACCACATGTTTTATTATGGTCACCCCAAGAATATTAGCCACCATATGTTTTATTATGGTCACCCCAAGAATATTAACCTCCACATGTTTTATTATGGTCACCCCAAGAATATTAGCCACCATATGTTTTATTATGGTCACCCCAAGAATATTAACCACCACATGTTTTATTATGGTCACCCCAAGAATATTAACCTCCACATGTTTTATTATGGTCACCCCAAGAATATTAACCTCCACATGTTTTATTATGGTCACCCCAAGAATATTAACCTCCACATGTTTTATTATGGTCACCCCAAGAATATTAACCACCACATGTTTTATTATGGTCACCCAAGAATATTAACCACCACATGTTTTATTATGGTCACCCCAAGAATATTAACCTCCACATGTTTTATTATGGTCACCCCAAGAATATTAACCTCCACATGTTTTATTATGGTCACCCCAAGAATATTAACCTCCACATGTTTTATTATGGTCACCCCAAGAATAATTAACGGTGCTTTTGAAAGTTTAATGAGTTAAAAGCTAACGCATAATGAAGTGAACCTTCTACCTGCCCAGTGATTTTTATATTGACGTTTTTCACCCCTCAGCCATATACAGGCCGTAACAAGAGAAAATTGAATGGAAAAGAATAGACGCAAGGTGAAGGTTAACTATGATTATGAAGGAGAGAAAGATGAGATAATGTTTAGAACAAGTAGTGCTGCGGAAGTTCTGAGAGGGAGGAGAGAAAGAACAGTGAGAAAGGGCAAATATGAACTACTGAAAAACAAAGGAAGAAGGATATTGTTAGGGGAAGGTATAGACGGGCTGTACTGAGAAAGGGAATGCTTTAGCAGACGGTGGAAGGTGCAGAAAGAGAGAGGAAGGTCTTGAAAAAGATGAAGTAAAGAGAAATTGGTGTAAGATGTCGAGTAAGAGGATGGGGAGGAGGAAGACGTAGGGAAGATGCAAGTGGGACTGTAGAGAGATAATGTATAAGACGTAGGTAGAGTGCTGAGAGATGTAGAAGGGGAAACATGGCAGGAGGGAGGAGTTATGAGGGAGTTACTGAGAGAGAGAGAGTTGGACCAGGTGGAGCAACTGTGAAATAAAGAGGAGCTAGAAACGAACACCTACAAGGCAGAGCTAGAAAGCACTTACCAATGTGTCATGCGTCGGTATTTTGCCAGTAGAGTCGGAGACATCTACTGGCATAGTAGTAGGTTGGCCTAATATTAGGTAATCGTCTTTGGCAGGCGAAAACATGGACGTGTGTGTAACAGGGTCGGGTTGAGGCAGCGTGGGCGTCTTAGCAGCTGGGTCAGAAGGAAGCTTCTTTGGTGTCTTAGCATCGCGGTTGAGAAGTAAATACTGATTCTCAACCCACGCGTTAAAGTTCTGAACAGCCAGCTCTGCTTCGTCCAGAGGTGTGCGATTCTCCGAATTTTTGGCCTCAGGGTTAAGGCCAGCTTTAGCCAGCCATTGCGCTGTCTCTATACTTAGGCCCATGGCAGCCATGTGCAGCGCTGTGTTGCCGTACTTGTCTACTGCGTGGCGGTTACAGCCGGCAGTTCTCACGAATAATGCCACAAGACCGGCATAGTTACCCAATGCAGCCCAGTGCAGTGGTGACCAGCCCATAGTGTTGCGACAGTTGGGGTCAGCGCCGGCATCAAGAAGCGTTTGTACACAGGACTGGTGACCTTCCAGCGTGGCCAGATGGAGGGCGGTGTGACCTGCAACACAAACACAGGAGATTATAATATTTCATGTTCTCGATAATGTCAGCGTTAAACATGTACAATATCACGAGCACAGTACCCACACATATTAACAACAGTCATAAAGAAACAATACCAGCAGCACTGATGACCAAGCCACACATCAGAAGATGGAGAGACGACGAAAGTTTCGATCCGTCCTGGACCATTATCAAGTCGAATGTAAGGGAGATAGATTGATTGATGACGATTAAGCCAGGTGATGACGAGGTGGCAAGGGCATGAATAGCCCATAAGTGGTATATTGTTTGTTTAGTAAATGTATATTGTGTGCTGAGGTCGCATTTAATTGTCAGGCTGCTATCGCGTTGGAGGATACTGCTTGACAGTATTTATAAGGGTGTACAGCTGCTGAATACCTTTTCTTTTTACCAGAAGAGTGGCAGTGTTGATGACTTCAGGGTGGTTACTGCAAGATTAAGGGACTCTTAAAGTTCTTCTAAGGTAGTTGGTTGCTTCACATTCCAGGAGATAGTGACGTAATGGCCTCTCTGTGATTGTTTGGCAGAAGATTCTTTTTCTCTGTCGGGGTTCACCAATCTCCCAGTTGCATCTGTAACCGAGACGTAGTCTATATAACTGAACTGTTATTTCCCTGTCGATTCCTCTTGGGATATTTACTCTTTCTAACTTGGTAGCCTGAAGATACCATATTGCAGAGGGCGAACCTTTTGCTACACTCTGGTGTAGACAGGCTTTCTTGAGGTGTGAGAGTTTTTTTAGTGATGGCGTTTTTATTTATTCTAGGCTGGGATGGATTGTTTTATGTACTCTAGGCTGGGTTGGATTGTTTTGTGGATCACTGGATGACGAGTTGCTAATTTAGCAATTTCATCAGCTTTCTCATTTAATGGATTCCAGCATGGTATGGAATCCAGTTTAGGGTGACGTTGAGTCTTCTGCCTTTAGCTACTGCTCCAAGATGCAAAATGGTGGTAATTATTTCCACGTTGTCTTTCCACTGATTTTTTCCGAATATTTGAAGTACAACTTTGGAGTTTGAGTGTATGATTGCATTTTGAGTGTTTTGTGCAATCACATATGCGAATGCCTATTGTATGGCAAACAGCTCAGTTTGGGTTGATGATACTAGTCCTCCCAGTCTCCAATATGCCTGTTCGCTGTCCGTGCAAGGAGCAGCGCCATTACTCTCATATCTGTGTCCACCGATCCGTCTGTGAAGATGTGGGTGACTCCTGCTACTGCAATGCTGCACATTTGCTCTTATATAGTATGCTATTGGATTATTGGATCATAGGCAATTTTTTTCATCGGAAGACCTTCTATTAGTATTTTAAAGGAAGGCTTCTCCCACGGCGGGGAACAAGTTTAGTTTGGGTGTGGATGGTCACCCCCTCTATCAAGAATCATTCTCTTTAATTGTAGTTTGTTTAGGACTTTTCCCGCTCTGGCAGCCCAAGAGTTTCTGTTGCTTCGGCCAAGTCCATCCACCAAGATCTGTCGTACTGCGACTGGATCAGGAGAAATAATTATCTTACTGATAATCGTAGCTGTTCTTTGAGATCTTCTTTCATGAAGAGAGGGCAAACCCCTTTCTAGTCTGGTTCACATAGGGGCTCCCAGGGCAACACTCATAGCATAATTTTATTATAATTTAATAATAAATTTAAGATTAAAATAAAAAGATTAAAATTAAGATTATAATTAATATAATTAATTTATAATTAATTTATAATTAATTTATAATTAGTTTATAATTAATATAATTAATTTATAATTAATATAATTAATATCTTATAATTAAGATAAATAATTAAGATTAAACTTAAAAATTTAATAATAAAATTAAGATTGTGGTAATTTATTACCACAAACGTTGTCCACACATTTACAATGCTAATCAGCATACATGCATTTTCTTCTGACCTCCATAGACAGGGTTAGATATCTCTTAAACATATAATTCGGAGATTTATTGAACAATCAACCACAGAAAGTGATTGTTGTGATTTTAAAATGCTAACCTACCAACATAAATTCACAGATATACGTCTGTCCTACATAAACAGTGTTGAAGGTAACTTTTTACAGTGTCGTTAATGTGCGTTTACAAAGGAGAAATTCTATTCTGACTCGCTTCCACATACCCTGTATACAAATACACAAACATATACATATATACACATGCATATACCTACACATATCCACACATATATACATACACCTATGTTTCTCCTACTTTGACAGGGTAAGATAGCATCCATAGAAGCTAGTGTGATATTAAACAACCACTGAGGGTGCTTAAGATACTTTTACAAGCTTAAGTTATAGGTACATACCTTGTTGTTTAGATGTATTACATATTGTATATGTACAATACATTGTATAACAGATGTGTTAAATAGTCAATCTTGGGTACAAGTCCAATAAATCATCAAGTGTTCCAATACTCATATAGTAATTACAGAGTTCAGCATACCTTAGCCCAGGAGGGCGAAAGTCAGTCAGTATGGGACATTCTACAATATAATGTTCAAGAGAGTGCATATTTTCTCTTTCACAAAGTTAACACATTGTGTACTCGACATTTGGGTTTTGAGAAAGCTGCCAGATACGTCAGTATCCTAGGTGTATTCTGGCCACTATAACATCACATTGCCGAGTTCTTGCTCTATTAGTCCATATGTGAATGTCTCCTCACGATATTTATCATAATGTTTAATGGCATAACTTTCAGCCCTTTGTGAATCTGTTAGGTCAGTGTGATTTTCATTAGATATTTGGTTAAGTCACTACTAATGTCACTATAATGTACACCATTGTAACTACTAATGAAGCACCCATATCAATTTCTACTTCTGTTTTTTTACAGACTGTTTTTGCAACCATATCAACAGTGTCATGCCTTGAGATGCCAACATGTGATGGTATCCATAGGAATTTAATTTCAAATCTGTTTTCTTTAGCAGCTAAAACATTCATTCGTATATCACTGACTATTTTCCGGGTAGTACTACTATTTGCGTTCAATGCCAGGAGTGCACTCTGCGAGTCACAGTATATAAGTCCACTGCCTTTGTCTTTTAAAAATTCAGTGGCAAGGTATATGCCTGCAAGTTTGGTTTGAGTTGTACTTGCCCAGTCATTGACGCGCTTCATTGCTGTATTTACGAGAAAAGATTGTTTAAATATATTACATGCACATCCGGTACATCGTCCACTTTCTTCTACAGAACCGTTGGTATAGCACTGATTCACGTCGTTACCCGTTACCTGGGTACTCTCAGTGATGCTTTTCAGTGTTAACTGTTTTAATAATGTAGCGTGTTCATTATCTTTCTCGAGTGCAATTACAAAATCAACTGATAGATCCCAGTTGTCCCTTGGATTAATTGGTTGAATAATCATTAATTGAGTTGGGTACATATTTAATATTTTGATGGAGTTGGCTACCTTGTAAAACCAAAATGCATAATCAGATTTCGCTCTTCTTCTATAGACCTCAGGTGAGTATAGCATATTAGAAAGTTTATCTTGAAATTTCATGTGTTGCCGAGATCTACTCAATGCCTTCACGCCGAAAACTGTGCTAATGGACAAAATTCTCTCACTTATGGTAGGCAATTTTAACTCTGCTCTCATATTAACTATTCTCGTCGACTTTGGAGGCCCAAGGATGAGACGCATAGCTTCATTTTGCAAGGTTTCAAGGGATGTTAACTCTTTGTCTATATACAGTGCGAGTTGTAGAGCATTGTAGACAATAACAGAACAGATAAATGATACATAAAACATTCTAGCAAGTCTCACGTTAATTCCATGATTGACACCAACAAGGACCGGCAAGGGCTTTACACTCTCCCAGAGTCCTCTCATGAGAGAAGAAAGGTACCCAGGGTCGTTAATGGGGACACCAAGGTACTCAGGGTCGTTAATGGGGACACCAAGGTATCTGTAAGACTCGCAGTTTTTAAGTGCTCGCCCATCTATATGATAATTGGGTGGTGGAATACCACACGGAATGAGAACACGAGTTTTCTGTACAGAGATAAGGAGGCCGCATTCCTCAGCTCTAGTAGCAAAAGCATCGAGCAGAACTTGCATTCTAGGCTCGAAGGCAGCCTGTAAACATATATCATCAGCATAACAGATGACTGTTAGGGAGGTTAGCGACCTGAGGATTGCCACCCGGGCCCCAGTCCTCTCTCTCAAGTAAGTGACCTCGGCATTACAATTTATGTGAGTCCAGGATTATTCCTAGATACTGAGAAGTGTCCACCCATTCAATTGGTTGACCCTGTACTGTGAGTTGGGTGTTGGGCTTCACTATTTTAATGGACATTGGCATTTGTCCTGATGGGGTTGAGTTTGACACCAATCTGCTTTGCTTCTTCACTGTTGTGAGATGTAGAGCATTGTATTCAATAACAGAGCTTTTGGTCAATAACAGAATCAATAGCAGAGCTAAGCATTTGGGTGCAAGGCATGCTGCTTTCTTTCCTTTTATGTTGATGACAAAGTTGTCCGCGTAGTTTAGCAGCCTGCAGTGTTGCGGGAGTTTCAACCTCATTATTCTTTCCATTAAACAGTTGAAGAGAATGGGCTGAGAATGCTGCCTTGCGGTTAACCATTTTCATATCTTTTGTATTCAGAGACTGTGTCATGAAGTTTCACTCCTGCTTCTCTGTTTATGAGACAGGTTATGGTCCAGGAGAACTAGTTGCTTTTGACCTCTTTGTCAATGAGACAGCAGAGAATAGCTGGGGCGCTAGCTAGTTCAAAGGCTTTCTCAAGGCCCAGGAATATCAGAATTCCCAGTCTGTCATTCAAGTGGGCTAACAGAGTTGTAATACATTCCACTGTGCCAACCCATTTTCTCTAGACATACATATCCTGGTGCAGTTTAGGCATTTTCCACTCAAGTCTGTTGAGGACCATTCTGTCAGCCATGTGGCTGCACAGCTCTGGAGAGAGATGGGCCTTGGATCAGCTGG